TTCTTTCATTTGAGAAAAAAAAAAAAGGTAAAAAATGCCCACAAGAGTTTTGAACAATGGTTGGGAAACAAATGTTGTCTCTGAGGATACTGAAAAAGGTGGAATGTTTGTAGAAAAAAGACTTGTCTTTAATAAAGATAATGGAAAAAAGTCAATAATTCTGAATAATCATAATTATTATGTGGATGATGATGATGATGATGATGATGATGATGGGTCGTCGTCATCATCATCTTCTTCTTCTTCTTCCATTGGGAAAAACAGTGATCTATCAATGGAGAAATCAGGAGATGGTGAGGAGGAGATTCAGAGTTCATCTGACAAAGGGGCCGCCATGGAAGCAGCTGCTGCTCTTGAGGAAGTTTTGCCTATAATAAGGTCAATCAAATCTACCTCTTTACTAGTTTATTATTGTTTTCTTTTCTTATGGTTTTGGATGTAAACAGTAACTACTCTTTAAAATCTTTGATGCTGAGTTTTGAGTACAGATTGAATTTAAATGTCTTTAGCCTGAACGTACGTACATTTTTTTCTGATTCTCACTTGGGTAACTTTTTTTTTTTTTTTGTCACTGAGGGAGGGCAAATAATGTAGACTGACTGTGCTTTTTTTGACATTTGATTTCATTTTCTAATGTTTTACACAAGTTGAATAATTTTATATAACATTCGAGAGACGATGTGTTGTAATCTATGAATATTATGAAATGTTTTTCATACTCTTGAGATGAGTGAACTGATATGACTATAAACAAGTCATCAGTATGAGTTTATTATAATACATTGTTAAGAAACATTATTTGCAAGTAACCGCACGCCAAGAATCGCCATCTTTAATCTGATAAAAATACAGAAGGGGCATATCGAGTTTCTACAACGGGAAATCCAAGTCCTTTGCCAGCCTGGCGCACGCATCATCCTCCTCCATAAAGGACATCGCCAAGCCCGACAATGCCTATGCCCGAAAACGGCGAAATGTTCTCTCGTGCAGCCTCAACATTAAGAACCGAAACTTGTCTTACCTCAAAAGCAACAGTGGTGGCATATCCAAAAAAACTGCAGGCGCAGGCCGGGGGACTACTTTGGCTTTAGGTGTGGCCATGAGCAAAAACTCCGAGAGTGGCAACAAAAGCTGCGAGGGCTGGAGGTCGTTTTCCTTGGCAGCTGATTTGCAGCATTGTGTTTCGGTTGGTGAAAATAATTCGAGTTTGGATAGTCATTAGTTTGCAGATTGAGCGTTTTTTAGTTCATACTTTGTTTAGAATGTTGGGGGGTTTTGGGCTGGTAATGAATGATGTTGAGTACATGGAGATGAAGGTTTCTTTTCTTCTTTCTCTATCCCTTCTCTTGCCATCTTTGTTATTGTGGATAGGATAAATATCTTTATTTTTTTTTCCCCCATGAACTTGTTGTATAATCCAATGCAGCTTTTATATATAGATCAATATATTTTTCTTTGCAAAAAATTTAGAAGAGCTAATTAATAAAGAATCATAGATAACAAAGTTTCATCCATTTGACAGACCCTTTAACGGCGTTAGTGACTCTGCAAATGCATGGTGGGCTCGGCTAGACTCCAACAAGCATGATATCTGTTGTTACATTGGGCCTTAAGTAGAGACCAGCAGGCCGCAGAATTAAGGACGACCAATCAGTTCAAATTGATGATGAGGCCCACCATGTTCTCATCTCCATCTTGTCCATGAACAAATCCGTTGCTTAAAGTGCTATTGTTAAAAAATCGCATAAAAAATTTTATTTATAAATGAATCATCCAATGAGTGACCAACCATACATACACACCAACGCAAACGTGACCAGAAGAGCTACCTGTTAAATATAATATATGTATAATTAAAAACACCTACAACAATTAATTATGAACAT